AATTGTCATAATGAAAATGTTGTCCTGGTGTTGTCTTCCTGGTATTGGTTAATTGAGTTTTATGCCACAGAGACAACAATACACCGTATATAATAAGGATAATAATTATAACTAATATACTCGAGACATAAGTTATAGTAAATTAGTTATTAGTTTATTAGCCTAGTTAAGATATTGTGTTGCAATCCTTTTTTCACAAAGGACACAAATGAAATATTTCATATGTGCCGGATTGACTCGGAGATGGACTCCGACCAGAGGGTGCCGCCACCTCAACAACTACATGTTCGTGTACGTCATTTTTGTCATCGGAGCGGCATTATATCCCGGAACACCTACTCCGAACCCTGCTGGTCCTTGCCGGGACTGAGAGTAACCCCGGACCTTGGTTCTGCAGTGTCCACCACAGATCAATCTTGGTGAGATGCAATGGATGTGGAGAATGGGTACATTTTCGAGATTTCTCTAGACTCAACAGGATCCAGTAGTATTGCGAAAGGAGTTACGTCGCTTCATGCTGTGCTAGCACGTCTCCCAGTGTGTCTCAAGAGTCGTCGTCCGATTCATCATCTGAATCGTTCCCTTCCATAGTTCCCTTTTAGTTTAACTGTTTATTGGTTCAAATTATTGAACAGTTTATTTGGTGTAAGAACAAATTGAATGAGGAGATTTAGACGAAATCAGAGTTGACCAATTCTATTCAGCAAAAGGAACGATCAGTACTAGGTCCAATATTTTACCTACTTGTTTTTTATGCAATAAAAGAAAGTAGGTAAATGAGTGCAAATTGAACGACTGGATCAAAATGAAATTAGATGGACAAAGAACAGAGCCCAAGTACCGTTCGTGCCTTTTGCTGAATAGAGTTGGTCAACTCTAGTTTTGGTCACATATAAAATTTTATTTTCTACAGTATATTTTAAACGTACCAACTATTTTTTTGATTACTTCCTATAAAATAAGTGTTTCCAGAAACCGCATCTACCATAGATCAATCTCAGTGAGATGCAATGAATGTGGAGAATGGGTGCATATTCGAGGTTGCTTTGGACTGAACCGGATCCAGGAATACTGCGAAAAGAGGTACGTCGCTTCATGCTGCGCTAGCACGTCTCCCAGTGTGTCTCAAGAGTCGTCGTCCGATTCATTATCTGAATCGTCGAAGTACGAGATACACTCGCAGTCTCCTCAACAGCAAAACGCGGAGCATTTAGCACCACATATTGCTGTTCCGCGCATAGAAAATGCTCCGCGTTATTGCAGTTAAACTGCGATGGTCTTTGCAACAAAATCAGCGAAATTATAGAGTTTATGAGTCGAAGGAGAATAATGGTCGGTGCGATCCAGGAAACCAAGTTAACCGGGAACTGTAGCTTGCAGCATTGCGATGGTTACAACGTTGTGCGGAAGGATCGTCCCAGAAGCGGAGGTGGGGGACATGCATTCTTATTACACCACTCTGTCCAGTACAAACCTATCCCGCTTGAACTAGACTCTAGTGACCCATGCATAGAATGTGTGATGGTAGCAGTCAAGTGTGGACTGCCGAGGTAGAGGTACTAAATGTTTATATACCGCCGATGAATAGCTGTACGCCGCGTTATTTACCGGGATTTCAATGCCCGTCCTAGGTAGTGACCAGAGGGGTACAGCTCTGGCCGAGCAAATTGATAGCTCAACATTTTGCATGATTTATGAGCATGTCGCCACGAGGATAAGAGGGGATTGTCACAGCTGGCTAGACATCACCGTGGTGGCACTGGATCTGATAAATGACATAACCATTTCACTCGGCTCAGACCACCTTCCTATCATCGTCTCTGTCACCAGAGCACCAGACTTCAAAAACTCTAAACGCCGTACTTTCCTGAATCATGGGAAAGCTGATTGGCCCGGTTTCAGAGAGTTTACCAATCACATCACTATTGTGGCAGAGGATCCGATAAGAGACATAACCTGGCAACCCGTCATTTCACTCGGCTAAGACCACTTTCCTATTATCGTCTCCGTCAACAGATCACCAGACTTCATAACCTCTGAAAGCTGTACATTCCTGAACAATAGGAAAGCTAATTGGCCTGGATTCAGAGAGTTTACCAATCACCGCTTCAGATCCTCGGGTAACTGAGATGAATTTCCGTAAAGTCATCGCTGCTGCTGCCGCTCGCTTCATACCTGCTGGTCGAATACCCGAAATAAGACCAAACTTCCCAGAATAAGCAACCGTATTGGCTAATACGCGTGAGAGCACCGTCGTACTAGCCCTGAATACCCAAGGGTACGAGAACTTACCCTTGAAGTCAACAGACTAGTAGTATGCGACCACCAAAGGAAAAAAGTGACTAGACCACCGGAAGCAATACATCATTGTCACCGGAACAAATAAATTGTGGGCAATGGTTAAGTCACTCTCGAATCCTAGAAGGAATGATGACAGGACGGCTGTTCAGTGAACGATGTAACTTTGACAGACCCGCAGAGGTGCGCGAGTTATTTTAACCGGCAATTCATAGAGCACCCCCAGAATGACAGGTCGAAAAGTGGTGTGCTACGTCACATAAGGGCACTCCGTCCCGAGGAGGTACCACCACAATTTACAAAGAAGGGCGTTGCACTTGTCATCAATAACGTTAATCATCAAAAGCGTTGGGCTCAGACGTTCAGTGGCATGCTATGTGGCGCTAGTGTGGTTCGCGAATGCAAGTGATACGCAGTGGAAAAATATCCGGATCTGCCTGAATGCTGCCCGGAGAACTGCAACAGGGTGTCTCCTCATGACTCCTGTGGAGCATCTTCATGAGGAGACGAAGATCTTACCCGTCCATCGACACAATTACATGTTGCTTGGGAGCTATCGTCAGGAACATCCCTTGGCATAGTCCTATTGACAGGACTCCCCCGCCCAGGCATGTCAGGAAGATCTTCATGATCTAGAGAGAGTGGTCCAAAGTTATAATCGTGAACCCCTAGATCAAGAAACCTTCCAAGAATGGTATTCACACTGAAGCAGTCGCACCGGCAGTAGAGCAATCTTGCGTGAATACCATAATCGGAGACCACCGCCAATCCATCGCAGCAGAGGAGAAGCAGCTACTCAGACAAACTCGAGTAGTCTTAGCTCAACAAAGATTAGGATGGTGCAACCGCATCAATTCATATTGGGCAATAATTGATGACTCGATACCTAACACATGTTCTGCATGTGGACTAGGACCATACGACACGTCTATCGCCGAATTCGCTATGGACGCAACCCGTTGAAGTTGCAATATTCTTGAATCTGGAGATAGAAGAAGCAGAACCAAATAATGAATGACGAAAAAGCAACATTGTCAATCGGACTTGAGGTTATTATTTTGGCAAATTATTATTGCGACTAAATATGGCAGCATATCGGGTTTATCTATTATACACGGAACTGTGTGTTAGAGTTGAACAATGTTGTTCCTGAAGCGGTTCAAAATATGTCGGTTCTCTCTTCAAATGAAACATCACCATTCAGTTAGTTCCAAAGTTCATTTTGGTTCATTTATTCATTGGGACACGCCAGTTAGGTAGGTCAATGAACTAATTGAAAGAGAAAATTTAGTTGAACGGTTGGAACAAATGGAACTAGTTGAACGAGAGCAAAATGAACAAACAATAAACCGAGACCTAGTACCGATTGTTCCTTTTGCAGAATAGTTTTTTTAACTAGGTCGTTTGAGTCCGAAACAACGCTGCTGTGTTTTTTTTTTTGGGTTTGGGTAAATATGACAGTTCATCATTATTCCCCATTACATACGAAAATGTGTGTTAGAGTTGGAAAATTTCGTTTCGTAAATTAAACAATAGCAAACATGAACTATCAGACCTAATATCAAGGATTGGAATAGAGCACAATTGAACGAATGGAGCAAAAGGAACGTTAGAGTCGGGACGATTGTTCCTTTTGCTAAAAAGTTCATTTGAACGAATTCGTTTCGAAACGTCATAACTCTACAAGATACTGTGGGTTGACAGCTTGGCAAATTTCTCAATTTCGCGAATAAACGGTCTTTTATGCTTTCGATGTCTGCTTTCTTGATTCTGTAAAAAGGAATCATTCTACTAATTAGTTAGTAGTATCAACTACGTCGTAATCATTTCCCAAAAACCGTCTAATACATTTTAATTACTTCGCCAGCAATTGAAGTTTTGATTAGGTTTGGACAGTCTCATGCTTGAAATGTCGCGATAATTGCCCGTTCGCTCTGCGCAAAAGGAACTAGTTCATTAATTCGTATCCATATTTATTTTAGTTTGTTCACATTTGTTAATTCGATAACTGAACGGTAAGATCGACTAGGCTATTGAAACTAAAAATTAACACTTACACAAAAGGAACTAGATTAACGAATAACCGTACCTAGCACCATTTGTTCCTTTTATGGAATATTTTCCAAAATGAAACCACTTTACCAGATACTGTTTATTATCTAGTCCAATTATTATTGCGTCTAAATAGGACAGTTTGTATTTCTTTATCTATTTCGTGGAAGAAATTGTGTTATATATAGCTGTGCGATCCCATTTCTGCCGTGGTTCAAACTTTATTCCTTTTGCTCCTCAAAATGAACTAGGTTATTTAATAAGTTCCATAGTTCCTTTTATTCCCTTTTGGTTCAATTGTTTATTGGTATACCTGAGCTCATTCGATGAAATTATAAATTGAACAAGAAGCTCTAGATGAATCATGCATGCATCCAAAGGAATTGGGTAAACGAGTGCAAAATGAACAACTGGATCAAAATGAAACTAAATGAACAAAGAACACGGACCTAGTACCGATCGTTCCTTTTGCTGAATAGAGTTGGTCACACCAATTTTGTTCACTTCTTTCAATGTGTTAGTTTCGAAAGATGATTTTAAGCGTTCCCACCATAATTATGGTCACTTCTTATAAAATATAGGTTCACTCAAATTATTTGACAGTTATCCTTCAAAACAGCAAAAAATACTTTAAGAAATTCCGAACTTACCATTACGTGAAACATCCAGTTCCACAAGATTTTCAAAATGTTGTATATCTGGTGGCAGACGAGCAATTTCATTGTCACTTAAGCCCAATTTTCGTAAACGATGGAGTCTGAAGAAATTCTGTAAAGAAAGCGGAAAAAAGAGAACATGAATTAATAATTTTTTTTGAAAACAAAAAAGAAACAACAAATGTAGGGCGTCCAACATTATTTTTTCTTTGAACTTGTTGCACGATTTCGGTGCAACAAGCAAATCAAGTCATACAACACCAACAAGAAAAAAAAGAATGGAAACAAAGGCCAAACAATCAAAGGTAAAACATAATCTTTCTGCATCAGCGTCATCATCATCATCATGCTGTTGTCATAGAAAGAAAAGAATTGCGCTGACATGCAACTCACGAATGTGGCAAAATTAAAACAAAGGAAAGCCCCCGAAAAAATGTTTGGGGGAATCGAATAAAGAAAGTGTTGCACCTCTGCTACCTCTCATGTTAATCCCCCGAAGAAATGTCGAGGAGTTAAGAAGATTTGAATTATTTGAAATCTAGTAGAATTGAATGGAGCTTGTTTTTGCGAAATGGAAATCCATTACGAGCTGAGGGTACCTGACTAAATGGAAAGGCTGAGTGGCTTTGGTTCCCGAAAAGACTGTGGCATGTAAGCTGCTGCTGCATTCATTGCATATTATATTTCCTTTTTATATCTAAGACTATGGTGCTCTTGCTTTCCTTCGTAGCTGAATGTCTGGCTGGCTAACTGACTGACAGCTAGACAAAGTGGTGATGATGGTGACTGAATGACGCTGGTGGTGGTAGTGGTTGGACTGATGGTTATGTGGCGTTTTTCTGTGATTCTATGACTAACTGCCACGTCCGACTGCATATTGAGTAGTAATAAATTTACAATTTCATGCCATTTGTAACAATGAAATATTAAAGTGCAACATGCTGGGCGAGCTCCTCTCAACTCCCCTGCACCTGATGCCAGCCTGCATCTTTTTCCCCCAGTCTACCCCCACCTTGTGCAAACAATCTTCTTTACTTTCAAATTGGCCATAGGTGAATGTAATGGATGAGATAGATAGAAAGATAGTTTGCCGGTCGGAACAGCACCATCATCATCCAGAAGACCTACATCTGCAAGCAAACTACAGCACAAAAAATGAACCGACAATGATGATGATGCTGCTGCTGACGAAGACATTGATGCTAAACTTAGACGACAAAATCAACGTTGCGGTAAGAAAACAAATGCCGCCAACGAAGCAGCTAGTTCTGGTTGCTCCACACCGAGAGGAACAGCAAAAGCGGAGATCATGGCTAAAGAGGAGGTTGTTGGTTGATCATATTACCATGTCTTTCACTAAAGTGAAATAAAAGGTGGGTAATTTAATTCATGTTTAGGGTATCTATGGCATTGATTGCACTACTCTCCCTCCCCACAACACTTCTCCCATCCGAATGGAACCACAAAAACAAAAAATGCCAACATTCACAAATGTTATTTTTTTCCTAAACATGACTGAATGTTAAAGGTGTTACAGATTACTTTTCTATATTTCTTGCTCCCTCCGTAGCACAACTACCTCACCTCTCACCTCGCATCTTAATATCTTAAAGAGGAGCTTGGCATGGTTGCACAAATGACTTTCAAATGATGACGATCCATTTATTAAAATCACGATTTTTAGTATTTTTTCTTCTCGTTTCGGGGTTGGCATTTAGTTTTTCTTAATTCGCTTATTGCCATTTAATCGCTCTTTTTTGTAGTTGATGTTCTTGATTCCGTTTTATTGGAGCAAAATAGAAAGGACAACAACTGATGCTTAATCTAAATTACCAAAGATTAATTGCCTTGTAGGATGATGAGTGAGACTCATAGTCGAACGAATTATTTTGGCAAGGATGGAAAAGAAAGCTTGACAATTAAATTAGAGCGTGAGAAATTGAAGTGAGCAGAAGCAATAAATTATGTGTCCATAAATGGGAACGTGATAGAGTTGATCAATTTCGGTTCACTCAGCAAAAGGAACTAGTTCATTAATTTAGTTCCTCATTAGTAATTGGTACAGTCGATGCTTCCACTTTTCCAAGTGGATATGAACTGATCGATTTTTATGATCTGGTAAAACTAAATAAACAATTAGACAAAAATTAACTAGATACATGAGAACCAAATCAACGACTAGAGAAGGAACTAGATAAACAAAAAGGGTGGAACTAGTACCGATCACTCATTTTGCGGAATAGTTCCTTTGAACTATATGCGCTGGTAGAAGTAAATGAAAGAGAAGATGTAGTCGAACGAATGGTTCAAAATGATCACTTAGTTCCTTTTGTTCCATTCATTCAAAATGAACGATTTAGCATACTTGGGATTTCGGCCAATTATGCACCGTTTTGTTCAATGATTTGTTCCCATTTTTAAGGTAACTGCATAATGTCACTCTCATAGAAGTCCTGCTCTCTATTTGCAAAAAACGTAGAACGAGTAGTTTAAAATAAGGCTGAAGTAAGCTCAGTCGCTGTCAGGGTCAACCTAAGGACCCACAAACCTTAACTAAAAACACGAGTGCTTACGATTTCAATATTTATTATAATATACTCTGGTGTTTACAATATGAATAATAGTTTGGATATGAGGTAGTCTGTTGATGGTTGGAATCTTTTAATCGTGATATTGGTAGCTGAGTATGGAGATCGGATCGTTAATAGCCGTCTGGTTACAGTCGGCTCTTGGGTTCTCGGTTAAGTGATGTCGACTCGAAACTAGCCGATTGGTATTCCAACTAGCCGATTAGTATTCGGGTTTGTTGTGATCGGCTGGCTACAGTCGGCTCGATGCTACTTGGCTAGCTGATGCCGGCTCGTTGTTGGTCGGCTTGTTAGGGTTTGTCAGGGTACGGTTAGTAGTTAGTGGTTATTAGTGTAGAGCTAGCTATGAGCGAGGAGCTAGCTACGAGCGTGGGGCTGGCTATGGGCGAGGCCGAACTTTTGTTAACATTTACCAGTATACGAGACTGCGAACAAGCCACACATATTCGTCACTCGTAGTTCGTTAAAGTCCGAGATCGACCCCTTCGGAATGGAAAAGTGGAACATATATTCGTATGGTACTACGAAGTGAATGAGAATTATTGTGTACTTCAAGAAAGGTGTCTGTCGAGCATTTTGAGCATTTCCACGTGGTATTTATGCTATTTTTGCAAGCTCGTTCCTTTCTTGTATTTGTTTTATATGGGAAGGCTTGGGCGTGAATATCAATCGTATATACATACGAATATTCCGATTTTGCCGAATCGTAAAACTGTATTTCAAATTCAATATTTATATGAACTCTTCCCTAAATTCTTTATTTTATACAGTAAAGTACGACCACAGAATATATATTTTACGCAGCATTACATGGATTCTTTAACTTCGATGTGTTTGTTGGCAATCGACAATCTCTCGGACAAGAACGTAATTCTCATTCACTTCACTTATGTACTCCTTAACGATGCGAATTCCAAATTTACCAAATTCAAGACAATACAAATGATAGTTTACAACGTTTCGGCCCCATGATAGCTTATTGATAGCTTAAGGTAACTCATGACTATGCTCCACTCGCTTTAAAGTACGATACGTGTATATTTTTCAGTTTTCTGAGAAATGAGATGTGTGGTGTCGGGAAGAGGTAATAATATGCAACGCTTCGGTCTTGTGAAAATCAAGCTCCTAACCCTTGGCAATGTCATAGCCAATTCTTCTTCCTCATAGCCAGTTCGATGCTCTTAGCGAGTAGCTCCCCGTTTACAGGAATCTTCAAACAAACAGACTCCAATCACTCATAGTCAGTTATCTTTTCTTAGTAAAATATTCGCTTACAGAGCTCTCCGCCAGTTATCGACCGCTCCTAACGAAATAGAAACTAAGATTAAAAAAGATTTTCAGGCGTATCGTGTTCCGGAAAGTTGTCTTCTACTTGAACTTTCCACCGAATTCGGTGCTTTACCCTTCTGTGTGAACCAACAGTTGGCTCGCTTTTACCACGCCTTTTGAGCTAGCCACCGTAGTTGCTGCACCCCGATTCGTCTAAATATGTCAATGTTCGAGTATACATGGTACAACTAGTTGCTCATTCGACGACGTTATTCACCGTCGATGCAGATCGAGCCGTAGATCTTTCCGATAATTTTTCTCTCAAACACTCTTAGAGCTTCCTCATCTGCTTGCGCAAGTATCCATGCTTCAGATCCATACACCAGCACGGGTAGTGTCAGCGTCTTGTAGAGTGTGAGTTTGGTCTTGTTACTTAGACCATAGTAGCATCCGTAATTTTGAAGTTAAGTTCCATAGTGGGTCCGAGTCTACAGTAGGATTTAAAAAAGGTCGCATGACAAACTGTCACATTTTCTGAATCCTCGTCCGGTATTGAAGGGCCCGAGAGGCCCCTTCCGGCTTTAACCACTGACCTTGTGCCCTTGTGCCGCGGAGCTTCAATATCAGATATAATACAGTTAGCGAATAATTAATCTGTGGGTCTAAGCTTAAAACAAAACAACGTATTTGTGGAAGAAGATCTTCAAATCGTCGACTTTTTTCTTCGGCAAGCGTAGTTTTCCAATTTGGCACATCCTGTTTCGAAATGTTGTTTTCCACATGATGAGTCCATCGAAATCGTGGCCTTCTCCTTCTGCATAAACTATCATTTGGCTCGCTTTTATATGTCTCTTGAACTAGGGCATCGTAATCCATTCTGACAACATTACCTAGCCATCAGTTCGATATGTCTGACAATGTCGATGTCCGGGTATAGGTTGTACTTGGTTCGGAGGTAGGCCCGTATATTTTTCGAAGAATTTTTCTCTCAAACACTCCTAGAACTGCCTCATCTACTTGCGCAAGCACATACACCAGCACGGGTAGTAGCAGCGTCTTGTAGAGTGTTAGTTTGGTCCGGCGAGAGCAACTTATAATACAGCTGGCGAATCTATATATCTATTCTTGTAACAACGTTTTGAATTGAAGGGGTAGCTCTCTTAATACGATATGTGGGAATGTATAAGACTTGATTATTTTTCGATTTTGGACGTGATTTTCCACATTTATACATCAAAAGTATAAAAGAGGAAAA